GGCTTGGCTGCATTGTCACCTTCCTGTCCACCAGATCGATAGCAAGCAGGAAGAAATGCATTCGCACATCTGCAGAATGTAGGAAGGATGGGCTGCCAATGGACGGGGCAGTGGGGGAGGGGAGGGGAGGGGGCAGCTGCCTGGGGCTCAGTGCTTTAAAAGGGCCTGGAGCTTTTGGCCCACATGGTGCATTCTGGGCACCCCTGAAGGGCTGGCTGGGGAGGTGCCTCAGCTGCCCCTGCGCTTCTGCACCAGGGCTGGCCCACAACATTCTGGCACCTGAGGCGGGGAGCTCAAATGACGCCCCCATATGCACGTCTGCACCAGCAGCAGACACAATTTTCTACACTCTGGGTCCTAGTGGGGCCCCGTCCCCCCTCCCCCCACACACACACACAGTCTGGCACCTGAGGCGGCTGCCTCAGTTTGCCTCATGGTAAAGTCGGCCCTGTTCTGCCCCTTGTGGGGGTACAGAGCCCGGCCTCCTCCCATCTTGTCCAGGGGCCTAGCAAGTCTCCCCACAGCCCTGAGGAAGGAAGGCCAGTAAAACCCTTTCTTGTAGGGTTTTGCAACTGTTGTACATTTTAAAACCATAATGATTGCGTAACCGCGCTCGTATACTCTTCTAGCATGGGGTTGTGTAGGTTAGGGTCGTCTAAAAACTGCTCCCGTCTCATTAAACTCTCCTGCTGTAACGAGCGATTCTAGCGGGATACTAATTCATGTGCCAAAAACTTGTTTTGAAAAAATGTGGATCATCTCGAGTGGGCCCGTCTCTATTAATCAGGGTGTACACATAGTCCTCATCTGCAAAAATCGGCCGTCTTCGCCTTTCCTGACATGCAGCAATGTGTACAGTGACTCCTTCGCGAAGCTGTGTTGCCACACCTGAGGCTGCAGAGGGGAAATTGTTAAACACCCGCAACCCCCAGCTGCCTCTTCCCATGCCCACCAGGGCCCCTGCCTAGGGCTAGGGCTACCCCCCAGCTCCACTCTGGCCCCTACAGCTCTGGGCATCACATCACGGCCCCAGCTTTCTTGCCGGCTGGTGCATGGGTTGGCCACCCTTCTTTTTGGGAAGGCAAGGCCTTCCCTTGCCTCCATTACCCGCTGCCCACGGAGGTCCAGAAGCACAGGAAAGATAAAAGATTAAGTGTGACGTGAGAACCAGCTAAGAAAAAGAAACAAAGTGGTCAAAACTGACCAAGGAGCCCTAAAAATGCACTGGGCACAGGACCTAAGTCCAGGAGGGCTTACAGAGCGTGACCCTATCACTCCAGTGCAAGGACAAAGTTCAGCAAAACAATGGGAATGGCCATTAGGAATGGTATAAAACAACCTTTCAGAGGCCCAGAAAGATGACCGTTTGGAAAGCCCATAAAACCTCTCCCCTTAAACAGTCCTCATGAAGACAGCAAGAGAAAGCAACAATGACAAACAAAAATACAGCACATGGAAAAACGAGGACCTTGCTAGCGATGAGTACAAACCTGCCGTTAGGAAACGCAGACAATTGACAAAGAAAGCCAAAGGAATCAATGAAAAATGGAGGGTAAGAAAGGATTTCTGGAATACACCAGGAACAAAAGAATCCTGGGAAATACTATAGATCTGTTGCTGGACAGGGCCATTAAAATTGTCACTAAGGCTGCAAAAATGGCAGAAGAGTTCAATCAATCATTCTCTCTATGGAAAAAGCAGGATGCTGTACTCTCTAAAGGGCTAATGAAATCCTCCCAATCCAATAGCAACGAGGCAGCATGTTAAACAGCAATTATTGAACTTAAAACATTTTTAAATCTGCAGGTGCCGATAACTTACCCTCAAGAGTCCTAAAAGAATTGGCAAAGGACCATTGGCGAATGTACATCGGTGTACGTTCTTAACAGTCCTTGGAGTACTGGTAAGTTGTAGTGGCTTGGGGAATCCTTAATGTTATGCCTGCATGTAAACAGGGCTACTGGGTAACTACAGCCCAGGGAGCCTGGTGTTGATGGTGACCATACGTATCTGATATGCAGGAGCTCTGTGACAGCAGAGGACTCTTTACTGTAGCCGACAAAAGCAGAATAAGATCTGGTGGCTGGAAACTGACATGAAGCAGATTCAGACTAGAGTGGGGCCTAACAAAGGTTAACGAGGAGAGTAATCAGCCACTGGTACAACTCGTCTAAGGATGTGGTTGATCTTCCATCACTTAACATCTGACTGTTTCCTTGAAAAATCTACCAGCTCAACCCAGACATCGGGCCTAGCTCCAGGCACCCTGGGTGTGCCTGTGATAGACACGTCAGAGTCGATGACCATAAACGGACCCTTTAAGCTTTAACATCTCTAGGTGAATGCCTGACTTTCTGGAAGTCCATGGGAGTTTCCAGACGTTGGTGGCACTGGGATCTCACGCTGTAATGACTGAAGACTGTCCGGCTGCTTTGCTATTTGAACAGCTTTTTGTAGGGTTGTGTCTGGTTTTAGTTGTAGCTACTCTGACTGACATCAATAAGGCCATTAACCAATCGAGCTTTAATATTTTCATATGTGCTAGGCCCCAAATCACAGTTGTCAGACAGTGCATGATGAAAGATTTAACAGACGCTGCCCCGGTTGTGGAAGTCTGTGGTGTAAACTGTGTGTCTCTAAGGTGTAAGGTGGGCATCAGACTTAGCCAGCACCCGTTCCCAGTCATCTTTGTGCCCGTCTTTGGGAAAGGCAAAAGATTTAAAGCTATGCTCTGCCAGCTCCCCCGTAACACACACTCCGGAGCGTACCTGGATGTCTCCAGTGCTCTTCTGGAGCTTGGTTGCAATGAGAAATCTTGCAAGATGCATTTGCCAGCCTGCCCAGTGTGAAGGGCCGTCAAGGCTGAAGTTCCCTGAACTTGCCAGGTCTCTGGCATGCTGGAAGAGTTCACCCTTTGTTGCCACTTTCCTTCTGTTTCTGTTCTCTGGCCCTGGCGCGGCTGCTGTTACCTGGGCTGCATGTCGTGTATCACATAGTGACTGGCTGCAGAGTTTCGTCCCCAGAGAACTCTTTAAGAGACTTTAATGCGCTGTCAGCCAAGGGGTTTGTGCTCAGCTAGGGTACGACAGACTCCCCGCTCTCCGCAGTCTGGGGGACACGGATTGTATTCAGCTAATTGGGAGTTCTGCTAATCGGGGGCAAGGGCCGATCGGCCACAGGGCGCCCTTTCCCGCAGTCCTGGCTGAGAGTCTCCGCTCTGCCCCCGTCCCTCACTCTCATGGTGGCGGGAGGCTCCCTGCCTGCAGGGACAGACAGACACCCGATCCCTGCCAGCACGAGGCGGGAGGGGGAGGTTGTGCTTCTGGTGGGGCAGAGGAAAGACCCCGCCAGGACTCTGCTCACCAGGCCTGCAGCCTTCCCTGCACCGTGTGCCCGCAGGGATTGGGTGTCAGCACAGGAAACCTCTGCAGCTGGGCTGTCACAGGGCCCTGCTCACTCGCTCGCTCCCGGGACAGCCGGGCTGCAGATGGCTCCCTGTGTTTGCGCAGGAGCCATTCAGCGGCCGGGGGCTGGGTGCTAGTTCCCCACTGCCTCCTCCTTGCAGTCCCGGCCCCCGGCTCTGAGCTGTTACCCACAGCTCTGCATCATCCATTTCCCTTCCTTCCCCCCCCCCC